CTTCCACATGGGCTGGCCTTCCCGGTGTTCTGGACATGTTCTGTCCACTCATCCACATCCTCTCCCATGCCTTCTCCACCCTGCTCTGCGCCCTTGTGAGGCTGGCCTCTCTGAATTGCATAAACAGATTCCTTTGTCTTGTAATTCCCAGTCTGATTCCCCAAGAGAAAGCACTGGCTGGAGACTGGAAGGCAGAGGAAAACAATATGAGGAATCTACTCTTCCGACACTCTTCTGGCCAGGGTGCTACAGGCTGGCCACTCCTCTCTTCCCAGAGTCACAGCTGCTGCCAGAAAGCCCTCTCCATGCAGCCACCCTCTTTAGGTTCCACAGCCACTCCCTCCTCTTGACCCTACAGGCCAGAAATGGAAATAGCACCCCACTGTTACAACTCTGACCTTGTTGGTTGTCCTACACTGTTGTAAATAACTGATTCTATTGTAAATACCCTCTCCTTCAAAATAGCTCCTCCTTCAACTCTCCTGAATTATTCCATTTGAATGTGCCATCTGGTTCCTGCCAGGACCCTCTGATTGATGCAGATTGCATCTCTACCTCTCAGAGTGCTGCCTGATGCCTCCTCAAATCAGGCCTGCTCTACTGACTTGCTTTGTTTTCCCCAGACAGAATTAATCTCTGCTTCTTAGGTCTCCTGCCACTGTCTGTCACTAAAACCACACCTCAGAATGTCTTGTTTGAATAAGACTCCCCCACTAAAGTGGAGGCCCTTCAATGCTGAGGAATATGCCTCCCTTGCTGCCAATGTCCCTAGTGAATAGCAGAGAGGCCAGCTGAGGGAGATGTGCCCAATAAATGCCTATTTAGAGTAAGGGTGTCGAACTCAATCAGAGAAGGGGCCAAAATCTAAAATCCAGCCTAAATCGCGGGCCGAATGGTTTACTGAACAGTCATAAACTGTCATTGTGATGGAAACGCAGCGGAGTGCAGTGATGACAGCGCGGTGCGGGCCACATTGCAAGGCCTGGTGGGACGGATTTGGCCCGCGGGCCTTGTGTTTGACACATGTGATTTAGAGGATAGAAACACTCACCATGTGGTTCCCTAAAATGACTCGGAATAAGATATAAGCATAAAGTTGGGCTGTGTAGTTATTCAACCCCAAGACCATCAAGGCCACCTTCTCCACCATTTGCCATAACCCTGGCTATAGCCTCCATGTGCATGCCTCAGATGATGGGGAGCTCACTCACCTGCTGAGAATTACTCCCCTGGAAGGACCATTCTCATAAGAAAAAGGCCTTGCCTGTTACTCAGTTCAACACTGCCTTCCATGATTGCAACACTCCGGTACCAGCCATGGCTTAGAAACCATACGGAGTAATTCTGCACCGTTTTCCATAGAACATGGCTTCTAATACTTGAAGTGTATGTGTCATGGGCCTGTGGTCCTTGTGAGAGTTTTCTCATCCACGCCAAACATCTTCAAATGGTTACATGACACTGCTCCTGGCCCCCTCACTGTCCCAGTCCCCTTCTTTGTCCTCTTCCTCAGTTGGCTGTGCTTATCATAGCCTCTTAATAAGGAAAACTTGCTGCCTGTATGGCTCAGGGAAACTTAAGGCCATTATCCAGTTCTCCTCCAAACCCAGTCCTTCAGCACTTCATAATCCCAAGCTCTCTAGAGCAGTTGGGAAGAAGAGAGTGAGAATAGAAGGTGAAGAGCAGACCTCTGTGGCCTGTAAGGATGTCCGGGCAGTGCTGGGGAGCTGTGCACCGCAGACAACCAGGATGCAGGGATCTACAGCCCCCTTAATCCCAGCGTGACCACTAAGAGGCCGTGTTAACTTTGGCCTTCAGTTCCCTCTATAGAGAATGTTTCTGAGTCTACAGCCTCAGATCTGCTAGAGCTGGACGCTCTCCTGTAACACAGGGACCCAAGGACTATTAGATAACAAGTGAGTTTAAATGTGTTGAAAGACATTGTACTTCTCTGATGGAGTCTGCCAATCTGCCCAGCTGCATTATGGGTGGATCTTATTTTACTCAAGAGAATCGCTACATAAATTGTCACAATGATGAAATTTCACTGGGGCTACTCAGAGTAGGCAGTGGACCAACTATTTCTTACCAGTCTATTGCACAGTGAGTACAGAAATGGGGAGTGAGCCTTTAGATACTTGTACAGAACTCAGAAGCTGCTTCACCATGCTTGTGGTATTTCATTTTATGTCAGTTCACTTTTGCTGTATATTATAAAGGTACTGTTTTATAGCATATAGAAAAAACAAAACCTGGCCCTTCACTATAGATTGAGAAGAAGCAATTTAAATATTGTCTTTACTCAGAAAGGGAGAGGAAGAGGGGCAGAGAGGGAGAGGGAGTAAGAGAGGGAGAGGGAGGGAAAAAGGGAGAGAGAGGGGAGAGGGAGGGGAAGGGAAGGAAGAGAAATAATGAGAATGAATCACCTTGGGCAAAAATTAAGTTGAGCACTTTATTACAAATTACCTACATAATGTCAATCTAATTTTCACTGCCTCTATCACAGGTGCCAGTCTTCCTTCTGTCATTTCTTCTGCCTACCTCCATTTTGAAAAGTCACAAAGTATTTCTCTACAAACTTCCACAGGTTTCTCTCTGCACACAGGAGACCTGATTCCACCAGAATGCTGCCACCTCTAACCCGCCAGGAAACAACGGCACACAACTTTCTGAGCCAGCAAAGAAATAGGCCCTGGCGTTATTGGTCACAGCACTGGCACAGGGCCACTCACAGGCACGCTGGGCATGCAGTCCCATGACTTAGGAAAGGAGAGGCCACTGGAGCCTGCCAGCTCTGCCTGCTGATGGTGAGGTATCTGGGACCTAAGAGTCCCACGACTCCCCCCTTATCCCCCACTGTCCCTCCCCCCCACGCACAGTGTGCCCTCCACAAAGGCCAGCAGCCCTCTGTCCTCACCCAATCCCACTCAACAGTTTTCTCCCAAGGCTTTGGAGAAGCTGTCTTGCCTGCCAACGCTGTCTTTTAACACTGCCACTTATTGTTCCTTGGACTTAAAAATACCCTCTTTTGGTGGGAGTTCTGGAATCCATATATCTGAGTTCAAATCCAAGCTCTCCATTGAGTAGTTGAGTAAACTTGGGTCAATCCCTTCACCATTCTGAATCCTGGATTTCCTTCAGCAAAAGAGGGCTCAGGCTACCTTCCTTCTTGGGACTTGGTAGGTGCTAAATAAACATGTGCTGCATGGATGCATTATGGATGGATGAATGAATGAATGAGTGAATAAATGGGTGAATGACTTCTACCTATTTCTGATCCTTTGCCCTTCCCCATGCCCACTCTTCCTGGGTACACTGGTAAGTCCTGGAATTCTAGCTCAGCAGAGCACACATTGCATTAATCTTAGAAGACTTGCATTTGTGACTTAACCAAATGACTTTTTTGACCCATGACCTTGGCTGAGTCATTTCACTCTCAAAGTTCCTCTCTTTTCTGTCCATCACATGCAAATGCTAACTAACCTCTGTCTTGTCTTCCTGGCCAAATTCTGTCAAAGCCCAAATGAGAGCAGAGATGAAAAAGTGTCATGACCTGGAAGGAGCTGACCACACACCACGGCTGCTTCCCACATGGGCTGCTCATGTGTTGAGCCAAGGTGAGAGTCCAGGGCCCTCCTGGTGCCAGGAGGCTGAGCTGACGTGCTCTCTGGCTCACTGCCAGGCATTGTCATTCCTTTGCACATAGGTATTCTGTCTGTACATGGGCGGCCCTTGCTCTTTGGAGAGAGACATAAAGAGGAGAGTCAGCAGAAAACCTGCCGAGGTCTGCAAATGCACCTGGGCTATCAGCAGGTCTAGGGTCCTGCATGCAGACAGAATGGAAAAGTTCAGCCCGAATCTGGGACATCTGGAAAGTGGATGCCGTTTCTTTGGATTGGAACTAGTTCTTCCTGGTCTCACAGAGACTATAAATCATCCAGGGGTTCACCTTTGGGTTTCTCCTTCATGTTCCTGGTTAGAGTTGATACCATAAGACAAAGGCTAAGGGGGGAATTAAAGAAGGGTAGACCCTTCTTCTACCCTCTTCTCAGCAGGACTGGAAGAAGTACCTCTGCCCAAGAGCCTTCCTTTCTTCCCCAATCTGGTCTTTGATGTGCAAGTTGTACCTGCACCTTCCCGACACTCATGCTACAAGTGAGTCTTCTCTGTGACATCCTATGGCACCCCCTGAACACAGCACCTGCCCCCCTTTATCATACAAAGAATGACAGATACACTCAATGAGTGCATGTTACCTGCTAGCCACTACAAAGAGACCATGCTTTATACAGGGGTGGACAAAAGGAGGTTTACGGTTGTAGATGAAACAGTTTATTTTTGTGGTATTATGACCATAACCTGTATGCCTGTGATCCTATTTTTTCCCACCTGCATGCCCTCTCAGTCCTCAGAGCAGCTCAGCAGAGTAAGCACCATGATTATTCTCTTTGCACAGATGAGTAAGTGGCTTCCAAGAGGTTACCAAGTGAGGAAATAGTACCACTGAGATCAGACCCCAGCTTCATTCACATTGCCCAACTGACCACACTGCTCTGTCCAGTATGGGAGCCCTATACAACTACTGTGTACTTGAAATGCAGTTAGTGTGGCTTAGGAAATTTTCAGTTTTATTTCATCTTAATTTACATGTGAATAGTCACAGGTGGCTGGACAGCACAACTCTAGCCCACTCTACAACATATGCTTCAATAGCTGTTTGTACCCAGCTCATGCCACCCAATTTAGACTGTGAGCTCTTTGAGACGACAGGGTCCTGACCATTTCTTCTTATCCCAGAGTAGGCAGTCAACACATTTTTGTAATGGACGATGCTCGATTTGGTCCCCATGATCACATGAGTAACAGCCTGGTCTCAGTCACGAGGCTGATGTGTGAGGTGGAAAATTCCCGGGACCCCCAGGGGCCTCAGGGCACATGCCTATAAAATAGGGGAAGCTCAGCTTTCAGATGGGCATCACCACCTACCCAGCGGGTCTTACCTGTGTGGAGAGTCAGGATCGAAGCAGGTCTGGGTGACATCCGTGATGTCGGGGTCACAGCACTCGCCACCATCGTAGTTGAACCGTTCATAGTTACAGTCCATGTCACACACCCCGTTCTGCTGCTTCTTCAGGAAGGCAGGGTAGCGCAAGTGGCGGCAGTCCCCGCCATCGTGGCCTGTCAGTGTGTGGTTGCATTCGGGGTCGCAGTTATCGTCCCCGATCTTGCTGATGTCACAGTTGGCCAGGATGAGGCGGCGGCGCAGGGAGGAGTTGCTCACCTCCAGCACCTCCAGCTCCCAGGAGATGTTGTAGGGCTGGAAGGCCTCGGCCAACTGCTGGTGCTGGAGCTCGATCTGCTGGCGGCTCACCGTGGGGTTCTCCTGGCCGTCATCATGGAGGTTGACCACGCGGTAGCGCACCACCTTGGGCCGGCGGAAGCGCGGCAGCTGGTTGTAGCTGGCGATGACTTGCGCATTGTCGCACAAAGTCTGCCCGCACAGAGGGGGCTCCAAACTGGTGTCCAGCAGGAAGCTGTGGGCACCGCTGAACTCCACCTGTGGGCTGTGGCCATCCTTCATGGGGGACCAGGTGCGCTTCACATTGTCCCAGTTCTCCTGTAGGAGGAGCTGAGGTAGAGGCGAGTGGAGGCCATGGGTTTCCATGTCCAACAGGACTTCCCGCTGGGTCCTGGCCACCTTCCACAGACTGAAGCGCTCAATATAGCCCCGGTAGTTGTGATTCAGGGTGCTGCCCCCCAACATAAGTATTTTACACTTCTGGGTCAATGGGCTGAATATGCCACCCACCTGATCCCCAGAGGTTGCCACCTGGGCACCATTCACATAGAGCTTCATCAGCCGCCCGTCGTAGGTGGCAGCTAGGAATACCCACTGGCCAGGGAGGTAGCTTTGGTGGGCATTGATGGTGGTTACTTGCCGGGCCCGGTCTGTCTTCAAGGAGAAAAAGTAGCGTGGGTCTTTGTTGCCTTGGTCACTGACGGTGTGAATGCCCACGACCCATCCTCGGTCACGTGAGGTATAAGAGCACTTGTCATACAGCCCTATGTGGCCCCAAAAAAGAAAGATGAATAAATAAAGGATGGAAAGAAAGGAGGGTATGTTATTTCGTAGTGATAAAATTTATACCAGGATGTCCTAGATCAGTGGTCGGCAAACTCATTAGTCAACAGAGCCAAATATCAACAGTACGATTGAAATTTCTTTTGAGAGCCAAATTTTTTAAACTTAAACTTCTTCTAATGCCACTTCTTCAAAATAGACTCGCCCAGGCCGTGGTATTTTGTGGAAGAGCCACACTCAAGGAAACAAAGAGCCAACTGTGGCTTGAGAGCCGCAGTTTGCCGAACACGGTCCTAGACCAATCGTCTTCAAATTGGCAGTTACTACTGGAGCTGCTGGGACCACGCCCAGGCCAAGGCAAGGGCTAGAGAAACTGAGAGGACAGGGGAGTTGGGTTTGGGGGCTTCTCATCATAACTGTAACCCAATGTATTTTTATTGGTTTTGCATGTGGAACAAGAGAGAAACATTTTTGTTTGAAGAATGGGTAGTTGAGCTGAAGAAAACAATGACAACACCACCAATAATGATCATTCAAATCCGAAAACCTTTGATTTTGCAAAGCTGTTCTATGAGAAAGAGGCTTTCTTAATTAATAGAGTATTTTAAGTATGAAATTATATGGGAGGGAGGTCAGAGGAGAAACAGAGGGAGATAATAATGAATAGGTGTTCGTTTAGTAGGACAGCTCTTCCTATGGTTGCATAACTTGGAGTCATCAGACGTGAGCAGCCAGCCATCCAGTGCGCAGTGGTGGAGAATTGTTGGGAAAGCTGGCCTGCAGAGATGGGGACAAGAACTCCATTGTTTCTATCTCTAACAGGAGTCTGGCCAGACCTGACACTTATCCCAAAGAAAGGCAGCAATGCTCACTGGCTGAACGGAAAGGTTTTCAGAGATCACCACTTTCAACTCCTTCACATGACAGCTCAGAGTCTTGAGACCCAGAGAGTAGAAGGCATGTGTCAGGTTACACGGCGTCATGGACCAATTTCCTGAGACCCAATTCAGCTTGTTCTCCTCTAACACAAAAGTTAATATTTAAACAAATAAGACGAGCAGCCTTTTAACATAAGCAGGTGTTGGGGACCTCTACATAATAGTTAACAACAATAAGTACAACCTACAAAGCCTTAGTAGCAGGTCAAGCATTGTGCTAAGGTCTATGTGTGCATTAATTCCTTTAATATATATAATAGTCCCAAGGGGTACATAGAAGTTAAAGAAGATAGGTAAATTTAAGGCCAACTGGTTGGTAAATAGATCCTGAACCCATCAGACCCTGGGATTCATGGTCCTCAGCACCTGTCTCTCCCTCATCTCTCCCTGGGCATCTGAACCATGCCATCTGCATGGGGATGGCACAAGTTTCAGTCAGGTGTTTGGGAAAGTTTCAAGCTGGGACATCTCTATACTTACTCTAGGAACCCCAAGAAGTAACTTAACAGATTCTCTCTGGATCTAATCATCTTTCCACTCCCCAACCCCCACTCCCCAACCTTTCTGGAATATACCTGTGCCCACGGCACAGACAGCCTGCCAGGTGGGGAAGAGGGCTTTCTAAGTAAGAGTATATTTTAAATGTTGGATGATGCATGATGCCGGGTGGTAGGATACAAGAGGGGATACAAGAATTAATAGAAGATGCTCATTTAGGTCAGGGCCTACTTTTAGCTGGAAAATTGTTGCGGTCACTTTAACTCTGAGTGTGCATCTACCATTAGCACTCATCAAATGAGCTTCCAGAAAAAAAACAATAAAAGAGGGTCCACACAGTCTTTACTCCTTTGTGTGCACTGGGGCCCTAGAATTTGTGTAAAACTCTCCGTTCACTATTGACATGGATAACAGTTCTGGCGCCAGGCATTTAAGTTCATCTCTACTTCTCCTCCCACACTTTGCCTTACTGCCCTTCAGGAAATGGCCAGAATGTCCTCTCAGTCAACCTTTTCTCACAGGCTGAGCAACCTTGGTGAAGACTCAAGAATCTCTTCTGGGTCTCGGTACTCCACCTGGTAAAGAAAGGCCTTGAATGAAGATCCCCTCACATGCTTGGACTGTCTGCTTTCTGTGATTCTGTTTTCCAATGGCTAAAACAGAAACCACCTCTTCCAAGAAGCTCTCCCTGGTAGCCCTATAAGGAATGGCCATTATCTTCTCTGAACTCATTTTACTTTTAGGAAACTGGACACGTGCTTTCTGGTTTTCAAGTCATCTTACCACACCCTCTCCCACACAGTCTGGATGCTTTTTTTGAGAGGGATGGCTCTGTCTGGGTCATCTGTGTTCTGTCAATAGCTCACTCCACGCCTTGCCTACAGCGCGCACTTATTGTTTCATGAATGAGCACATGAATGATTAGTGGGATCAAAAGCACTGGTTTATGTCTCTATGGCTAGAGGACAGAGAGGTTCAGAAGACAGAGTGTGTTCTCAGTAGGGTAGGCAGAGTAGGGCCTCTGGACTCGGGGTCATTCTGATGATAGCAATTACTAGCTGTACATTTGGGCTGAATCCCCCAACCTCTGTGGATCTTACTTCCCTCATCTGTAACTCTCTTTAAGTATATGGTCATACTGAAAAGCGATAGCAGATACACCACACGTGGCACACGGTGGCTCTTCAAATGGCAGTGTTTTTTTTCGGATGCTGGAAGGTCTAGGAATGATGTCAAGGGCGAAAGTAGAAAACGACAAGAAGCAAAACACAGAAAGGTCAGAGAGAGACGGTACCCTGAGGGCATCTTGACCATGTATCAAGAGCAAGTATGACGAAGGTTCAAAAAAGCACCAGTCCTCTTGCAATCTCCTGGCAAGCCTACTCAGAAATCATAAATCCCAGTGGGGCTAACTGCTAGCAGGAGACTGCACCTCCACACTGCCCCTTCCCCCTGAGCCAAAGCTCTGACCCCAGATTTGGAATAAGTTAGCCCAATATGGGAAACAAGGAGAACAATGGTTCCTAGAGCCCCCACTCTTGAGTTCCCCACCTCACCTCTAAACTCACCATCTCCTCCTCCCCTGGCTAACACAAAGCCCCTACACTTGAACAGAAAATTCTTCTAATGAGGAAATGAACATCTGAAACGGGATCCTTTCTCCCCACCACCCGCTTTCTGTCTCTGCAGGTTTTTATTTTGCCAGGGGCTCTCAGTCCCTGGTTTTCCTGTTGCCTTTGGAAGGCAGCTAGCAGGGTTAGCAAGGTAAAATGTTTACACATCTGTAGGGTGCCCTCAGTTCAGAACCTTCCTGGCTTGGGACCATGGCTCAGGGCACCCCTGTTTGCAGTTGAGAGATGAAGGAAATAGTAAGCAAAGGCCAGACTGTGACACTGAGCACATGGAGCCAGGACTAAGAGGTGGCTGAGCCCCAGGAGGCAGAGGAAGGGCAGAGAGAGCATTTTCAATGGAACCAGGAGGAAACACATTAAGGGAAATGAGAACCTTGAGGCGGCAGCTTCAGAAGTTCAGAGGGAAATATTTACCTGGAGTGTGAGTGGTGAATGGAAATCACTGACTCCAATAGGGTTGGGATGGGGGATATAATGGTGATAGCAACTTATTCTGAATGAAAATAACTTCATCAACAGTAGTCACATTTCAGGGGCTGGAAGTGTGTGTGTGGGGGGGGTGCGTGACACTGTGAATCACCAGGGCCCTGGAACCAGATTTGGGCTCAGTTTGCTGGATGAACTTGCCTGGGAGAAGTCACCATCCCCACCCCATGCTGCTGGGCCTTATTTCCTTTCTCTGAAAAAGGAGGGGGTTCATAAGAGATGACATTCCCACCGCAATTTAAGAGCTCCTTTATTCTTTTAGAATGTTTCCTTGTAACCAGAAGTCCTCAAAACTGTGATGCTTTGAATCAGATGCCTCTCGTCACTCCCTATTAATTCTAGCATGCTCAGGTCCCCTCGCCTCTGTGTATCTCCACACAGGGCATGGAACAGTGTTCTCTGGATGACACAGGTGTACCCCTGACAACTTCTCCAGTGGGCTCTCCCCACGATTCTTCAGGAGGATAAAGATGGTGAAAGATGGGGAGAATTGGTCTGACGCTGGCACCACCTGTGTAGTACTGGAGGTTGATCCCAGAGGACACCTGCCCACCCAGCAAGATGGCGGCCTCAGGCGCCCGTGCGCACATCCACATCTGATTAGCACACACTGCTCCAGGCTGTCATCACGTAGAAGCAGACAGTGAAGTTGGGAGAGAGCCCATTCCCCAGCCCAGGAGGTATGTGGGGCCCACTGCCCAGGCAGAGAAGTGGAAGCCCATCCCAGGTACGGGGCTTGCCCTCAGCTCCCAGAGTAATCAGCAGTTCCTGCACCCTCGGTCAGCTGGCCTCTCTAATGTGTCCCTGTAGGTAGGCTTACTGTGCAAAGGGCTTCTTATTCCCACCTAGAAGCTTGATGGCCAATGCCTCGCTTTTTTCTCATCTACCCCCTAAGCCTTACCACAGAGGTGAAGATCTGAGTGAAGGGACAAGGCCAATGGCAGCAGGCTTGGAGGTGTCTCCCCAAAACTCAGCCTGGACAGGACTGGGAAACCTCTCTGGGCTTCGGGGTCACCATCTAAGGTCATACTTTAAAGACAGGGAAGCTCTGTCTGACCACTGTGTTCCACCCCAGGGACTGAGGAATTTTTCATACCACTTCTCAATCACTCACCCAATGTCTCTGTTTCAGCCATGTATGTCTACTTGGTTCATTATGAAATGCCCAGCACCTACAACAGAGCCTGGTGCCTTGTGGATGCTCCACAGAGTTTGTTATTGAAAGTAAAAAATAAAGGAATGGGAGGGAGGGATGCCCTTTATTGCTGGCTTCTTTAAAGAGCAGCGAATCCTTTATTTAGACCTTTCTAAGTACCATGTGCCTACATTAATTCTCTCACTTAATCTTCACAACAAAACTATCAGCATTGCTCCTTTTGTCAGAGAAAACTGAGGCTCAGGGAGGGGAAGAGGCTGGTCCAGGGCAAT